GGGGGGGGGGGGGGGGAGGGGGGGGGGGGGGGGGAGCGAGCGAAGCGAGCAGGGGCTCCTCTAGTTAATAAATATTTATCATCGAATAATGTTTTCCTCTTTTCTCTTTAGATATGAATTTGGAAGTGGACGCATCGTCTACAACAAATTCAAGTCCGTAGTCTCGTACAAAGTGGACCAGCTCCCTCTATTTGACAAATCAGCAGTGTCAACTGCTCCAAAGATGTCGATCTACGATTCCCTCGATGAGAGTGTGATCCAGAGCTACATGGAATTCTCTCTCGCCTCTCTCCTCTTCTACTCCATGAAGGAGGGTGCATGCAGCGAACAATCCAGCAGAATGACTGCCATGGACAATGCCAGCAAAAATGCCGGCGAGATGATTGACAAACTCACTCTCACCTTCAATCGTACTCGCCAAGCCGTCATCACCAGGGAGCTCATCGAAATTATCTCTGGTGCTGCTGCATTGGATTGAGCTAATTAAAGGACGCATTCGAGATATTTCAATTGTATAGTCGATGCTACTAACAAGTGAGAAAGAAAATATTAATGGAAAAGTTTAGAGAAATTTCATTGATTAATGATCTTATCGGTGATAATTGATTATTGATAACGGTCTTTGAATGAATTCCACTCCCATACAATTTATTGATTAATAAATATGAGTAGAAATAGTAAGATTTTTTTTTCTGAAATTGAATGGTCGATTTCAGCTGTCGAAGAATATCTTCAATTTTGAGATCCAAAAGTTATCCCGATCGTTGCTACACAGAGAAACCTGAGAGAAATATCCGACGGATTTTGAAGATCAAGTGACATTCAATGGATTACTCTTGGGTTTTATATCTGGCCGAAAACTTACTTATGACCTAATTTTTTCCACTTTTCATCACATGTGTAACAGCTATTTAGTTTAAAACACCATTGCAAAGCTGTAGGAAGGTTATTAAAAAATAGGGCGGTATTATCAGTAGTAATACCCCAAGACCTTAAAAGTGACTGGGTATTTCCCGAAAACTTCGTGATTGATCATTCATATGGATATATCAGGTTCCGCAAGTTGAAAAAATTTCGAGATAACGTGATATTGTTGTTTTTATACATAAACGGTAGAGGGAAATATTTGATTTATTTTTAAGTCGAAAGGTTGTTTGTCATCATTTTTTGTTTTAATTAGAATCTCGGTCAAGAGAATGTCTGCGACTATTTTCTTGATTGCCAATGATGATGGGAAACATCCGACAAATTTATTCTGCTGGTTAATTTTCTACGAGAAAAGATAATTGTGAAACATCCAGGCAATATTTCTCCATGTTTTTTATCATTCAGCTGTTGAGATGTCGAACAGAATAATACGATAATGAAACATAAAATAACTCTCTACGGCTGCTCTGAAATTACTCATCACACTACCGCATCTTCTCACCACGATTTTTGTACAGGACAGTAAGTTTCTTTGGAGGTTTCCGAAAATCGTTGGTCCAGCAGAATCCTTTATTCTACGGTAGGCGTAGAGTTTCAGGATTTCCAGGACTTCGATGCCAATTATTGGTATTTTTGTATCTGGAATCTCGAGTTGGAGTCTTTGCATAAAAACACCATTTGATTCTTTAAAATAAGTTTAGCAGACAAGAAACTACAAAGATTGTTAGAAAAAATAGGTTGAGGAGTTGTAACGGAATTTTCCACCTGGGACTGGAAAACCACGTTAACTCGCCCATTTCCCCTAGACTGAGAAAACTCGAAAAAAAAAAGTTATCGACGGGCGCCAGCCGTCCTTTGACCTCGGAGACGACAAACCGGATAAACGAACCTCAAACGAAATACAAAACGAAGGAACGAGAAAATAACCATTAATCCGGGGGGTCCAACTTCATTATTGGGGATGTCAAAAGTGTTTCCACAGCGCTATACCCAGCAAAACGGACTGATTCGGAACTACTCTAAGGCGAAATAGCCAACGTCACGTCCTAGTTTGTAACCACCTTCACTTTAAAACAAAGTGAACTTAATTTTACTCATAAAAATGACTATAAATGTTTATAAAAAAAATGCTCGAAGAGTCTGCTGTGTGCCAAACTGTAGAATTAAAGATAAATCAAATTTGAGCTTTCACAATTTCCCATCCGATGCGGCCTTGCGGAACAAGTGGATGGAGGTATTGAAAATCGACAGGCCTCATGACCGAGAAATGAGAGTTTGCAGTTTGCATTTTTCTGCAGATAACTTTACGAAACGAGGTCAGTATTATAAATAATTTATATTGAACATTTATTGATTAGGAACGAGTATTAGATGTTAATTGTGGAGTAGTAGTCAAGAGCTAAAACGTTTTAAGTAACTGGGGTTAAGGGGTCATATTTTGATGAATATCACGGAATCTGAGAAAGATAGTTAAATTTCTCCAAATACCGTTTTTGTAGTTCCCATTGCACTCTACCGAAAAAGGTCCTCACCAATCAAATTTCGCTATAACTCTTAGATTCGGAAATATTTCTCAAAACCTCAGTTAGGGGCTAAGTTGATTCAAATCGTTTTGACTGTTTGCCACCAAAAATTACGAAGCTCAATAATGTTCTTGATCTGTTTCAGCTATGCGCGAAGGTTGTCAACCTCCTAGGAAGAAGTTGAAAACTGGTGTCATACCATGTTTTCATCAACCAACAGAGAAGTCATCAGGGTTTACTGAAGACCGAGTTCGATCTAATTGTGGTATGCTTATTATTTTCAATAATGAAATCTTCTTGACCCTTGCCGTTAGTTTCCAATTGCGACTTGATTTACAGAAATACATACAGATGATAACCCAGAAAGTGTTCCACCGTTGACACAAGAAGCCAGTGTTGTCGGCGGATATGTTTCCACTCGATGTAATGCATGTGTTCAAGTGGATATTCAACCCGTTAAATTTGATGCGGAGGTTCAAGTCTGTAATCCAAGTCGTGATGTAGCGGTACAAGTACAATTCGATAAGTTGGATGTTGCGGTCCAAACGGTTATTCCACAAACACGAGTTGACAAGAAGATACAAACTGATCGTTCAGTGGTTGATGAAGTTATTGGGAACGAGGAGCAACTAAAGGCATTCACTGGTCTGCATTCGTTTGCCTTGTTGACGTCTCTCATCATCTGTGTTAGAGAATTGAAGAAGAGAATGGGAGAAAATTTGAATGATCGCCTCGATATAAGATAGAAAATCCTGTTAGTATTTATCAAATTGAAATGGAATTTGTCATATGTTGCATTGTCTGCAATATTCAAAATTTCAAAGCTGTAAAAATTATTTTCAAGCTACTCTGGAAAATTTAGCAGATGTTTTAATAACAGTCATGAGGTGGCCAACTAAGGAGGAAATATTGGACAATGTGCCAAAGTGCTTCCAAAAATACTCTTCTACTAGGGTAGTTGTTGATTGTACAGAGATCCCCATAGAAAAATCGAAATATTTAAAATGTCGTTTTATGACCTATTCACATTGTAAAGGGATTTATACCGTTAAATTCATGATCGGAATTGCACCTTCAGGACTTAGATCATATATGAGTAAATCATTCGGCGGACGAGTATCTGACAAACAAATTTTTTCTAAATCAGGAATTTTAGAATTGATGACTCCTGGCATTGATAGTGTTATGGCCGATAAGGGATTCTTAATTGATGTGGAATGTGCTCGGTATGCAATTACGACCACCATTTAAAAAAAAAAAGCAATTCAGCAAGGCAGAAGCATTAGCGACTGCACGAATAGCAGCTGCACGTGTCCATGTGGAAAGGGCTATTCAAAGAGTAAAAGTTTTCAAAATAATGCAAGGGATTCTCCCCCACTATTTAGTTAAGATGTCTGGTAAGATAATGACGATAATTTGCGGAATAACAAATCTGAGCAGCCCAATTCTTGCGGAAGATAAGTTTTAATTAGCTATGTTGTCAATAGAATGTTTCATTTTGCCTCGATTTCCCCTTTCTAACAGCAACATGTTCATCATTTTAAACATTTATCTATATAGAATTAAAGAGGCAATAAAAATATTTCTAGAAGATGACCCATTGTTTATTGAATTGAAAAAGAAAAAAAAACATGCTATCAGAAATTATGCACACTCAATACGACCCATCAATTGCTCATAACAACATACGTTTGTTTCGAGTAATAGTAACTGACATGCAAATAACATGATAATGTATATGACAATTCACTTGAAATGCTTAATTAATTCTGGTAAGACATGACAAAAGTAAATTTGCTTCAATTTTCGACACAATACTTGAGCATACTCCTCATTAAACGGAATTTGCAAAACAAGGCCAGTATCGTTAAATGAACTGCAGATAACAAATTCACATTGAGGTAAATTTAGAAGAAACATGCCAAGCTGAATTTGTGCAAAATATTTATGATTTGCCTTCAAGTAAATTTTTCCTGTCTCGGTAACACGAATATAATTTAATTTCTTCGACGATACGACATCCGTGGCTGACTTGTGCTTTCCTTCTTGAGGACATTTGATCTCTAGCAAACAATTATCGCTAAGAACCACACCGTCAGCGCTATACAACCACGGCATGCTGGGATGAATGAAAAGCCCTAATGTTTGTACGTCTTTCTTTGTTTTTTTCTCGTATTCCTCACGACATTTTGGTTCAGTTAGTGTACCGTGACGCATAGCTGGAGTCGCCTTAAATGACGAGAATAAAAGATTATTAATTTTCTTTGGCCAATCGATATTTCTCTTTTCCCCGTAAGTCTGAAAATCATAACATGTGCTCCCGGTGATTCTTGTTTGTCTGTGTCGTCTCCATAAATCATTTTCTTGACCCATTGTTGCCATGCAAATTTCAAACGCCTGAGCTTCAGTTACTTCAACATGCTCTGTATAAAAACTAAAGAGATCGTCATTCAAAGCAGGAGGAAAAGCATCGAATGGTAGGAGGATATGGACACGTTCCTGCAAGAAAGCTCGAACTGATTCAAGTGAAGCAGCTCTTCTATTCAGAGCAGCGTCAAAAGAGCGTTTTGTTCCTCGACGTCGCGGATAGAAGGTTCCCGCCTCAGTTTGTGGATGAGCTATTAAATAAATTAACAGTGAATATCAATAAATTAGAAAAATATAATGGGATACGAAGAAAATGGAATATTTCAGCTATTGACGAGAATGGAGAGAGATACAATACCTGTATTCGTACCTGTCATCAATGTATTAAAAAAAAAATTCTGGGAGTTTGGATCATTCTCTTTTTCTACCTTCTCCACCTTCATGCAACAAAATTCCTTCAAATTTACTACCTGATTCTGGGGTAAATCAGCATTCGATTTCACCTTACCCCATTGCTGTTTCAAGTCTGTACAGCTCAACATCTCCAATCTGTCAACTCGAACCCTAGATAAATCCAATATTTAAACTGCAGATTGCGTATACTCAAATATGATTGACAATCAGTACATGTATTGAAGTAGATAAAACGATCAAAAACAAAAAAACATGACTTTCCTCACCGATAAATATATAGAAGTGTCGCAAAAATGTGTTTACATTTTCCACCCAAGCCAGCTGGACAAGTACATTTGCTAATTATTTTCCTCTTATTTTCCTCAAAAAGAATTTTTATCGTTATTTCGTGGTAATTATTCCAATGTGACGATTGACCACAAGCTGATACAATTTCTAGGTAATTCTGTTTATAACTTTTGACACCACAGATGAGGATGTGTTCAGCTAATAATATCTCCTCTCCTGCTTGAATTGGTCTCCTAGTATCTCCTAGTAAGTCTCCAATATCGCAAAATGTCAAATTGAACTTTGGATTGATATTCATATTTACTAAAGTCCAATAATGATAGGGTAATGGGAGGCAAAGATCTTAATTTTGTATAACCATACAATCCGGCGCCCAACCACCTGGTAGGCTCCGCCATAGGCTAGTTATAGAAACCCTCAGTAGAGGACCAAAAATCGCTTTTGGCATCCCCAATTTCGAGTGAAATACGATTTTAATTCTCCCAATCGTCGCTCGTGGCGCTGATGCTGGTACGCGCGCAAATGTGTCAGAATGGGTGGGAAGAATGGAATTTTCGAAGACAACGGTTAGGTTGACACATGTTTTAATTTGATCTATTATTAATGAATTTTATATAGAAAAAGTGAAAGTGATGATTTGTGACAAACCTTATGAATTAAAAAAATAATACCACAATCTCTCTCATCCAAATATATCTTTTATCATGCACAGATGAGACCAGACCAGTAGAGAACCTGGTAGCTTCCGATAGGGAATTTCATTCAAGGTTTATTAAAATCATGGAAAACATCTCAATAAATACAATAAATGTCGTAAAATCACAACATTTTAGGGAAAAATTTCATCTAATATACCACAATTCTGTAATGAATTGGTAAACTGGAATAAGTGCATTTCATGTAGGATTAATTATCGGTGAATATCTCGCAAATGACGAGAGATAGGACAATTTTCATGGAAATCTTTTGTAGGACGAGATGTGAGCTATAAAAAAAGTTTATTTGAGTTTGAAGCTAAATTGAAATGCCGGTTGGGAAAAAGTGGAATTGTGGGAGGGGGTGAAAAATTAAAACACGCGGAATTATAAAATCACACTGTTGATGTATTTTATTGTGGAATAACCCACGTGTCTTGATAAATTAATAATGTTACACTGTTGATTTGCTCGACAAAGTCAATAAAATGATGATTTGAAAAATGCACTGCACTTGAGATTCTCTCGATATTAAACTTGATGATTGACTCAAAATAATTGATAGTTAACTCGGAATTAATTGATAATTGAATTAAATAGAGACGCTGCACGAAGCGCTAGACTCAAATATATCGCGTTGATGTACTTCGCTGATGTACTCGATTGAGCGGTTACGACGATACTATACTGTCATTAGAGTGACTCTCTCGGTGTCTAGAGCGATACTATGACTTTTCCGGCGATTTTCTTCATAGCTGACCGTGATCCCGACGGGTCCTGAAGTTTCTCGAGATTTTTGTTGAGCCCGGTGACCGTTTGACTAGTTTGAATAGTGGAATTTCAAACAAGGTTTATATAAAGATTTCGCTATCTCTCTTCATTTAGGAGATTGTTATGTCCGAAGGATTTTTCAGGCGGGAAAACCCTGAGTTTAGAAACTGATTTATTCGTTGAATTCATTCATTGAACTCTAATGGATCAGGTATCAAGGACTCCTTGGTTAACAATAAAAATAAAGTGCGATAAAAGGCTTCTTATCGCGTTTTTCCGAGTGTTAATGAGCAATTTGTTTATTCTGCACTCTTACGTTGTTTTCTTCTTAGGTAATGGGACCGGAAGTTTCAGATTTTATTTTGGGAAGGGATATTTGAAATGATTTAAGCGAATTTCTCGGATGTGCAACACCTTTAATAGTTTGCTTTAACCATTTAATCCAAGTTTACAATATCAGGGGAAATTTGAAGTTGGTTCAATTTGATTGATTTTCCGCGAATCGCAAAGTTTAAATGTTACAACAATTTATTACTTAAGATTTACTTACAAGTTTTCTGCTTATTGGAGATGTAATCCCTAATAGATGGAAATGTCGTCCCAGATATTTATTACAATTTCTCTCTATAAAGTATTTTTCAGTTCACAATGTTCTTTAGTGTTTTTAAATTAAGGATCCGAATTATTTATAAATACACACACACTTATATTGTAAGGCGTTTGGAATCGCGAAAGCCTTATTGGTTCGTACGCGTGATTTTAAAAGCCGAAAGAGTGTATCTCTTCTTTTTATGATACAAGAGAATGTGAACATTCCCGTTAATTTTGATGAGGGGTTTTTGATAACTCAAATTTCCGTATTTCCAAAATCGATCAACTCTCGGTAGCGATCGTCAGCACTCAGGAGACCACCCTCGAAATTCAGTTCACTAATTTCTGTTGGGAGCTACGACGAAAGATTGACTTTTTCCGACTTGGTACCGAAAAAGCCGAATTACCGACGATTGGAGAACGTACTCGTTCCCCGGGTTTTCCACGACTGAGTTTTACTTTTATCGATTGTAGTTTTTAAGTTTTGAATTTAGGCATTGGCTTTAAGGGGTGGGAGTTGGTGATTTGGAGGTTTATGACGAAAATTCGACGTGGAACACCTGTTCACGTGATCGAATTTTCGCTGATTCCACTCCTTGGGTTTTGAAACTTATTGGACTTTGAAGTGGCCTGAGGAATTCAGCGCGATGTTGAAATTGCCTGTCGGTAATTTCGACATCGGTTGTGCCGAATAGAGTTATTGGAATGTGTTTTATGTTCATTTTCAGATTGGGGGGTGGTTTAGGGGTTGTTGTTTTTGAGGGTTGTTTTGGCTTGCCGGAAAGGTCTCGATGATTCGAATAATTGTTGTTAAGGACATTTTTCACGGGAACGCGTTGTTTGGGTGTCATATCGATTGTTAGTTAGATATTGTTTATTTAGCTAGCTCTTTTATTTATGGTCGGAAAGTCAAAATTGTCGGCTTGTTCTCTTGCGCCGGTTGTGTGGCGTTTTTGGGGATATGGTTTTGGGTTGGAATAGTGTTTTAATATTTATTAGGGTTGGTTGAAAATTTTTAGAGGAATTTGTTGTTAACAATTGTAGTTGTTATCCGATTGGATTGAGTGAGGGCTTGGATTGTTTGGTTTTGTTGCCCGGTCGTTTTTTGTGAAACTGAAAGATGGGAAGTTTTCTGTACAACTATTATTTTAGGTTTTAGTAAAAATGTTTTGTTAGGGAAAAATTGGACCCCTGCTAAAGTTATTTGTTAATAACTTTTGCAGTGTTCGGAATTTCTTTTTAGGTGATGGGTCAAAAGTTTCGTCGTTATGAGGCGGAACCTTTGACGTATTTGTATAGTGCGGGGGTTTTGGTTTTCTAATTTGGTCTGGGGGCAATTTATTTGTTTCAAGTAGGGTAGTGGGGGTGGGTTTCGTGATGGTCCAAACGGGGTGTATGAGGGCTCGAGCGTTTTGTTTCGTCCGGGAGAACAATTTTGGTCGTCTGTACTTTAATTGTTTGGCCCTTAGTTTAATTTTTATTGATATTTTTCTGTGATCTAAATCTTGTGCGCTGTTGGTTATTTTGGGTTTTTGGTTTTTTGGAATTGGGGGGAGGGGTTGGATTTTAGGCTGGAAATAATTTGAACATAACAAGATATTCATCGATAATGAATTCTAACCGAAAATAACTTCTCTCAGTTTGAAAATTCATTACCGATTTATACAATACATTGGGTAAAATTTCCCAAAAAATATTGGAACTTTTACTTGAATTGTTATATTTTTTTACCAAAGTAAAGTTTAGAGTGAATTTTAATAAATATTTTTCTCTATATAGATTTCTTCTCGAAATCCCCTCTCAAATCCTCGAGTCTTTTGTCAGCTGATTCAACTTCTTGCTCCAAATCTCTATGTGTTAACATCAGCTCGGTCAGATGCCCTTGAAACCTTTGACAATCCCCTCGTATTCCTCGATATTCTCCACAGATCATTTGAAATATCTTCATTTTCCTTCTCAAAAATCTTCCGCACTTGAAGATCTCTCTTGATTTCCTTCAGATCCTCCAGTTTCTTCACTTCCTCCATAAGATCAAATCTTTAGTGAATTGGTAAATTAGGATGAGTGCATTTCGCTTAAAATCAATTCGATAGCAAAGTGGTAAAGGGTAACAACAAGTCGATTTGTTCCCTAGTCGAATTTTAGA